ACAATTAATGCTAATATTGTGTAACACATGACGCAACGGGTCTTTGTATGGGTTTTGTATTGTTTTTCATGTGATTAACTATTTATATGACCAGTGAATGAGTGGTCCATATATTGTCTCACTTTGAGTACAGTTTGCGCCGAAGATCTTGAGCCAAACGTCTTGACCCTTGCAGTCAATGCATTGGTGTCTGCACTCGAGTACTGCAGTGAAGGCTATGATTGTGTTCGCAATGCGAGCACTGATTGGCTGAAAGAAAATGCAAACAAAATATGTTTTCAAATGTCATTCAATTGTTGTGAAAGTGAAGACACGAAGTAATGAACGACACGTGAGATCACGTGACACACGACACACATGGCGTCCATCAGCGACATCGAAGACCTCGGAAGGAGTGACACATTCCGCGCCAATCGGTCCCAAGTGGTCGCGAGGGTCAAGAAGAAGTCGCTGTCGTTGTCCACGAAGTCTGAAGATAGTGACGAAGACTTGGAGGCCATACGAGTCGACAGTTTTATTCCCAATAAATACCGCATTTATCTGAAGACGTGGGGCTGCGCTCACAACACGTCTGACGAGGAATATATGGCCGGACTTCTGGCCGCTTATGGCTTCCAATTGGTCTCAGAGCCAAAGACAGCACATCTCCTGCTCTTGAATTCCTGTACTGTGAAGAACCCCAGCGAAGACCACTTCCGCAACGAAGTCCAGAAGAGTTTGAATGCCGGACAACACGTTGTGGTCTCGGGATGTGTCCCACAATCAGCTCCAAAACTCGATTACATAAACCGGTTGAGTGTTATCGGTGTCCAACAGATCGACCGATGCGTGGAAGTGGTCGAAGAGACTCTTAAGGGGAATATCGTTAGGCTTTTGGGCGTCAAAAAAGAGGGCAAACGAAAGACCGGCGGTTCGTCTCTTGATATGCCGAAAGTGAGGAGAAATCCGTTGATTGAAATCATAGCCATTAATACGGGATGTCTTAATGAGTGCACGTATTGCAAGACACGACACGCCAGAGGAGTATTAGGCAGTTATGGCATCGAAGATATCGTTCAAAGGGCACAGAAGTCTTTCAGAGATGGAGTCAAAGAGATATGGCTGACGAGTGAAGATACCAGCGCTTATGGCCGAGACATCGGCACTAATTTGCCTCAACTCTTATACGCGTTAATAGACGTCATTCCCGATGACTGTCGGCTCAGATTAGGTATGAATTACTCGTGTTTTATGTCAATAATACTTAAGAGTGTTATTCACATAATGCTTGACAGGTATGACAAATCCGCCCTATATTTTAGAGCACTTGGAGGCCATGGCAGCTGTGAGCCATTAATTTGTCGTACTTTTCATTGAATAGAATTACCTTGCTAATTTTGTTGTAATATTGTAGATTTTATCGAATCCCAAAATCTATTCATTTCTTAACATTCCCGTTCAATCGGGAAGTGATTGCGTTTTGGTGGACATGAAGAGAGAGTATTGTGTCGAAGATTTTAATAAAAATTGTAAACTTTCTAAAAGCAAAGTTAGTTTTTTTGATTAAAACATAAAATAATTATGAAATCTAATAAATTGTAATTTATTTATATAGAGTGAAAGGCGTAACAATAGCCACTGATATCATCTGTGGTTTTCCCACAGAAACAGACGCAGACTTTGAGGAGACCGTGAATTTAGTGAAGAAATATAAATTTCCGTCGCTTTTCATAAACCAATTCTATCCGAGACCGGTAACACCGGCCGCCAAAATGAAACGTCTGCCCAATTCTGAGGTGGACTTCAATGCAAACAATTCATTGATTTAATTGTATTGAAATTATTTTCAATTTTCAGGTCAAACAGAGAACAAAAACTTTGAGCGAATTATTTGCTTCTTATAGACCCTATGAGAAGAGAATCGGAAACAAAGAGACAGTTTTGGTAACCGAAGAGTCACACGATAAGTGCCATTACGTCGGACACAACCGATTCTACGAACAAATACTGGTCCCCAAAGACCCGCGATATTTGGGTCAAATGGTTGATGTGGTGATCACGGGCTCGGGTAAGCACTTCATGATGGGTTCGCCCGTTCGCCACAATCCGCTCTTTGCGAGGAAACTATTCTCCAAATTGAAGTCAAAGTGCTTTTGCTTGTCTTCCGTTTGGTTTTATTCGTGTTTTCTTATATTGTTTTCGTCTCTAATGATTAAATTTTTGCCACATTTTTCCGTTTAATTATATTGATTTTAATTGTATTTGATTTGAACTTTTAAAAAGTTAATACATTTTATAGTATTAATAATTTATTTGTAAGCATTATCAGTGGATAAAAAAGTAATTTATATGTTTTGTTTGACCGTTTAACAAATTATTTTAAACAAGTTTTGTTTAGTTTCCAATTGAGTTCCTTATTGTTATTGTTTATGAATACTGCAAATGGAAATAATTTGCATATAATTGCTATTTCGTTATCAAAGGACCAGAATATATGGGCAAATATTTGTCAAATAATAGAGGCGTTGATAATACAATTAATGACTAGAATTGATTATTATATAATATTTGATAATAATTTAAAAGTTATTAATAGTAATAATTAATAGACAATATATTCGACAGAAATATGAATAAATAGAATCGAAAATTGAGAAAAAATAATATATTCTTTGAAGTATAGTATCTTAGACTAACTCTCTTTGTAAGTGTATTACTTACACAAACAATACACATATTATGTTTACACTCCGTGTCCTCCAAAGCTGACTTGATTAGCTGACTTTATAACAATTAAACAAAAATAATTAAAAATTGTATTCTTATTGAATATGATTTACCGTATAATAAAATGGATAAAATTTGTCTCATTTAATATCATTTGAAACTATATTGTATTGAATGCGAGAATTCTGTGCTTCAGTTAAAACAGTAATAATGATGTCATGATTCATGTCTCATATCAGGTCTGTAAGTGTGGCTTAAATATCTAGAGTTGAAGACGAAATCGTAAGACATTTATATCACGTTTGAGAATCACATTGAAGTAACCGAACGATCGACCCTAGTGAAAACCGCGGAAGCTACTTGAGGAGGTCTCTATCGGACGGCAGTCTCAAGACTAGGTAAACAGCCTTATAAAACAGCCAAGAGAAGAGCCCTCACCTGAGCAGCAGTCCGTAAAAGTACTCCGATCCCACCATCTTATAGATCGCCTATCGGTATCATTACATTATGAGCTGCTCTAATATATTCACATTTAATGTCATTTCTACAAACCGTCACTATTTCGAGCATCTCTTGCCGGCTGATATATCCATTGCCATCCAAGTCATACATACTGAAAGCCCACTTCAGTTTTTGCTCCAACTTTCCCCGAGATGTGACCGAAAGAGCGCATAAAAATTCTCTAAACACGTGAATAAATCTCACTTTAAAAGGCAAATCTATTTGATTATATGATAGTTAACCTAAAATCTATAGTCCCGTCACAGTTAGCATCGAATGTCCGAAAAACATGTTCAGCGAAACGGGAGGCGTCGCCGTAAGGAAAGAAGTTTCCGTATATTTTTTTGAACTCATCTATACTCAGGTGACCACTCGGACAGTCCTTCAGAAACCCTTTATACCACTCCTGTATCTCAGCCTCAGTGAACTCAGTACTAGATCTCAGATCTGCCAACACTTCTGGCTTTAATTTACTGTTTTGTTTTCCCATCAAAACTGAAGCAATTTGTTTGATCTGTACTCTAATGAAAGCAAACATTATGTTAAGCAACAAATAAGTTTCAATAAAATTGTCTGGATGTTTTCAAATGTTGACCTTTAATTAAATTTGTTTTTTCGTATAATAAGTTTTGGAAGATTTTAGAAATTAAAAGTTTCACGAGTTTATGGTAATGAGAGAGAAAGTAAGTTTGAAAGTCAAGTCATGATCAGTATTTGATAGATTACAACGTTTTGTCAATTATTTTAAATGAAGTTAATATTAGTTTGATTTAGTTCCCAACACATCAAAACAGTATATATATTATATAATTAAAAAGAATAAATGTATTGTATATATAATATAATATAATTTATAATATAAAGCTCTTTGTGAACATTAAGTCTAGAAATGAATGGAAAGTATCGCTGAAATTATTTCCAATTAATTAATGATTGCAAACAATATATGGAATGAAGAGTTGGTTCCCATATGTTAGGCGTCACCCGAAAGACTTAACAGTTTGGCTAAACCGTCGTCAATATTACAGACTTCGAGGAACTCTTCTAAACAGATCTTTCCGTCATTATTTGAGTCCATTTTCTCAAAGATATCTTTCACTCTCATAGCGGCCTCTTCGCCATCGAAGGCCTCGTTTGCCTCTTCGCCCAGCATTTCGTGCAGAGCCTGTCAATTGGTTATAGTATTACTGTTAGTGTCGCTTAGATTTACTAATAAATACAGTCTATTACTAGTGATAATCTCTTATTGTATTTTGTGATATATTCATAAAATGGTTATAAAATGCATTAATGGTTTTAATATTACAAANGCAGAGCCTGTCAATTGGTTATAGTATTACTGTTAGTGTCGCTTAGATTTACTAATAAATACAGTCTATTACTAGTGATAATCTCTTATTGTATTTTGTGATATATTCATAAAATGGTTATAAAATGTATTAATGGTTTTAATATTACAAATAATTAATTGTGATGCATAGTATATTTTGTAATTCATTGCATACATTACTATTAGTAAAACTAATCAACACTAATGAGAGTGGTCATTCTAATTGTTTGCCACTAATTGTTTTTTTTCTTAGTATTAAACTGCAATTAATTATCATTTATCGCCTCAAACTAATATTAAAACTAAATGTTTGGCACAATTATATAAAACAATGTACGGTAATTATGTGAATGTGTTAAAGGATTATAAAGTCTTACTTTAATAATTTTAGTCATTTCATCCAATTCTATGGTCCCATCATTATTGATGTCATACCTAAACATAACAAATAGATAATAATAATTATGGCTAAAATGAACATGAATTGTAAAAATAGTATTACATTTTGAAGGCCCACTTAAGCTTCTCGCGCTGGTTAGTACTGGTGGTGATGCCGATAGCCAACAGAAACTCCTTGAAGTCGATCCATCCATTGCCGTCCTCATCGAAAGTCCTGTAGACGTTTTGACAGAACTTCTCGGGATTGCCTCCTTTGAAGAATCCCTGATATATTTCCATGAATTTCTCTTTGGAGAGCTTCCCGTCGGGACAGTCCACCTGAAAACCCTTATACCAGTCGCGGATCTCTTTCTCAGTATAATTAGTATTCTTTCTAAGAAACTCCACGTCTTCGTCGGTCAGTTTGATGGCTGACTTAGAGTTAGTACAACCCATTGGTTCCTGTGCTTTACGG